CTGCCTTCCAGCCAGTTCCAACTCAGGTAACTCTCCGGAACAGGGTGGAGCCCGCACACACATGCATGTTCCCACGGCTGCACGTTTTACAGAGGCAGACAGCCTCCTCTTCCGGAACAACTAGTGGATTTGAACTGCTGACCAACAAGTTACTAGCTAAGGACTGTACTGGAGCTCCTTGGGACTGAGAAGACACGCCTTAAAATAAGACACACAGCGCCTGCATCCCATGGCCTTGCTCTCACACCAGCTGCTTCCAGAGTGCAGCCTTGGGTGCGTGATCCTGCACTGTACTGTTGTCTTTCTGCAGCAATAGGCTAATGTTGGTGTTTAGTGAGAGCTTCCCCCTGCCCTGGAATCCAGTGCCCCAGGTCCTAGAATGTGTGATTCTAGGGGTTCTCTTGTCCCCCTGACATAATGAGCCATTGTGACCAGGAAGAGCCTGGTGGGGCGCGCACAGTGCAGGACACCGTGGGCAATGTGCCTCCTTCAGTGCCCAGGCAGTGCGCTGGGGGACAGCTGGAGGCATCGGTCCATCCATGTGGAGGCCGCAGGGCCATTCGATGACAGAGGGCCGGTCCTTGGCTGGGCATGCTGAAGCCGTCCAAAACCAGCGAGGGAAAATGAAGACCTAGGACCATGGTCAGAGGCTTCTTAACAGAGTAAGTTTGTCCTGTTTTAAAAATGGATACTCAAGCTCATACGTTGTGTGGAAACAAATGTCCAGTAAAAAGGCGTGTCATTACCAAACGCAAAGGCAGGCCATGTGACGTGGGTCAGAAGGGGACTCGTTGGGTTGTTTGAGTTGCTTCCGAGACCTCAGGCCCGCCTGTGTAAACACGTAGGAGGCAATCCATGTGGGCCCACTGTGCTGGCCGGTCAGGGGAACTGGCCTGTTTTCACGTTCTCGTCGTCGTTATATGTGTGGTCAAGCCAGGACCAGCTCATGCCAACCCCCAGCTCACGCTGACTCCCCAGCTGACCCCCAGTTCATGCCGACTCTCCCAGTGGGTTCTGAGAGGCTATAAATCGCAGGGGAGGAGACTGTCCATCTTTTTCCTGAGGAGCAGCTGGCGGACTCGAACCCTGCGCCTTTGAGTGGACAGCACAGCACCTTGCACAAGGCCCACAGAGCTCCCCAGCCTCACATGATTGACTCCACAGCTAAGTGGACGTGATCACAGCTGAACTCGAGTGGTTCGGATTGGGCAGCATTTTCTGCTCTCCCACGAGGGGCAATGATGATCCTCTAAGTACGTGTGAGGAGCCCTCATGGTACAGTGGTTCAGTACTTGTCTGCTAACTGAAAGGCCAGAGGTTCTAATCCAGCTGCTTGCCAAAAGAGATGGATGAGGGTCTGCTTCCCTGACCGTGAGCCTCGCAGGGTTCAGATGGCAGAGGGCTGTGCCAGCTTTTCACCTGCAGATGGCGATCGTCTTCCCAGACGCTCAGGGACTTGGCGCAGCCGGTTCCACCAAAGCCAGGGAAACAAGGGGTGCAGCACCTTTGTAACCAAGCCTGGCTGGAGGGAAGTGAATACCGCTCCAGCTAACACACACTTTCTCTCCTGAAACCTTTCCAGTTAGGCCAGCAGAACTCAGAGCAGCAGCCAGTCGGGTGCCGTGTGTGCTCTGATTCTTGAAGCCCAGGAGCCCAGAGTCTGGGCCTGTCAGACACTGGAGACTGTGGCCCCCAGTCACTGGGAATGTTCCCTGTTTCGTTCTGTGAAAGGAGGCTGTTTGGCGGTTGTCGTGGTGTCTTAAGAGTCACTGATCGGTAAGCAGAGGGAAACCCAGAGCTGGGGCCCCACCGTCACAGGCAGAGATGGGACCCGCCTGGCTTCCCTTCCACTGGAAGACATCGTCTGTCGTTCTGGCTAAGCTGGGGGACATGTCTGTCCCTAATGGCTCAGGCAGGATCTTCTGTGTCAGTCGCTCCTGCGTGGTCACTGGTGCCATCAAGATGGTTCTGACTCCTCGGGGCCCCTGTGCGACACGGCAGAGCCCTCCTCACTTCCGCATGTCCCCAGCCCTGTCCCAGCTGCCCGTCAGTCCACCTCGCTGAGTGATCGCCTCTTTAGTTGCCCCTTGACTTTACCAAGTGGGTGTCCTCCTCCAGGGACTGGCCCCTCGAGGAAATGTCTCGAGGTTCCCTGCCCTTCAGAGGACATTCTGGCTGGACTTTCCCGGATGAGCTGCGTCCCCGGCAGCCTGCGTTCAGGGTGTCAGCAGCACCACAGGTCTCCCCTCCCGCGTACAAACTGCATGGAAAGCCCTGGCTTGGGTGTGGTGCACCTTTGTCCCATCTTGATGTCTGCTGTTGCCACTCAGTGTCCACTTCTGCCCGATGGAGTCCAGCATTTGATCTCTTGGTGCTGGTTTTCACGGGGATTGGTTGTGGACGCTCCCTGATGGCTTCTCTTGAGGTGCTGGTGTTCTCAGCTCGGATGAGGTGGGTGGGTAATAAATTATGGAGCTCTCCGCATAATCCTGAGGGTAACCCTGGAGCTGCTGGGTGGGTGGGGGGTGAGGCCAGTGGCCTGAGGCTGCACAGACCACACTGGCCCCTCCCCAGGCAGCGGTGTGCTGGAGCGTTCTCATTGCGGTTTAGTGAGCTGACTGTGGTCACACACATGACTCGCAGGTGCAGCTCCCCTGTCCCCGTTCTGAAGAAGGAAGGGGGAGCCCCTGCCCCAGGGTGGGGTGGCCCATCTTCCAGAGGCCAGGGCACTTCTAGGTGGGCCTGCGTGAGGCCAGGCCTGGCCAGCTCAAACAGTGGCCTCCTGGAAGCACTCTGAGACCCCCTTGAAATGGCAGGACCCTGACTGTGAGGTGTGCCCACACTCGGGGGTCCTGCGTGCACCAGGCCACCTGCTGGGGAGCCTGCAGGGGAGGCCGCTGGGTGAGCACATCTGACTGCAGAGCGTCGCTCACCAGATCCATCCTGCGCCTCCAGTCTTGGCCGCCCAGACGAGCCACATGTCACGCTCCCCTGTCTGACTGCTCTAATCAATCAGTCCAGTGCAGGGCGAGGCTCACACCCTCCAGCAGAAACAGTGCCAGTGTCTGTGACACAGGGGGTGGCGAGGGGCTGGCAGGTGATGTCTGAGGTTTGCCAGAATGCTGTGACATGGAAGGGACACCACAGAGCAGTGAGGGGCTGAGAGGTGACGTCCAAGGTTTACCAGAGCAGTGGCGGGGTGGGGGCGGAAGGTGCCCGGCCTCTCAGCAGGACGGTTCTCTGCCTGTGTGGGGACATGCGGTGGAAGCTTTCTGGAAGACGTTAGGCCAGCGCCTCCTGTAGGGAACTGGTGGTCCAGTCCATGGGGAGTCATGTGACCAGGCCAGAGGCAGCGCCTCCCATGCCTCTTACAGCCTTGAAAACGTGCTGTAGGCTCCCTGACGACAGGGTCCTGCCCTGGCAGCCTGAGGGACAGCCCCCCCCCCGAAGCCGTCGCAGTCCAGTCGCGGGGTGGCCATGCTCCCACACGAGCGACCCTCGGCCTCTGGTTCTTCAGTGATTGTCATGGGAAGTCAATGAGTGTGTCGTCCTGACTAGGCAGTGACGCGTTTGTGCTGGGCCTACCAGGGCCTGTGGGACAGCGCTGCCCACCTGCATGTCCAGTCCTGGCTCCACAGGCAGCGCCTTCCCCGTTGTCGGCCTTGCTGCTGCCGGGCAGGGGGGCCCTGTGTCAACAGAGTGAGGAAACGGGCCCACCACACCGATCCCGCCACAGAGTCCACTCGAGACACACGTGTCCACGTAACCCTGTCAGAGCCCCTCATCACCTCAAAGCATTTGTTACTTGATTTCAGGCTGCTTCTTGTTCCTGAAAACATCAACAAAAATTCAAAGCAGAAAGTGGTCCAGTCATAGTGGTTAAAGCTGTTTTAGGTCATACACTCTGCCCTCCAGAGCTACATGCTTCCAGCATTTTGCATATTCTTCTAGGTTTTTTTCCCTCTAAGCAAAGATGAAAAAATAGTTAATACTGTGGTAGTATGCACACAGCTTTTGGCATCCTTTTCAAAGCTTTGATGTTTCCTAGCTGACACATACAGCTCCGTACCATCTTTCAGCTGCCACGTGGCTGAGCAGGGCTGCACAGACCCCCAGTGTCCCCCAGCCCCCCGACTCCAGAAACTTGCCTCCCACAGCACAGTTCCTGGTGGCAGTGCTGACACAGAAAGTCCCTTGCAAAACGCCGGCCTGAGGGTGCAGCGAGCTTGGCCTCCCAGGGAGCCGGGGCTTGGGGGGGGCAGGCAAGAGCCAGATGGGGTCATAACTTATTCATGACGAGCATTGAAATAGCTCCCTTATAACTAATTCACAGGCACCACGTGAGGACAGGCATGTGAACGCCCTCCAGTGTGAAATGACTCCCCCGCTCCACGGCCTCTGTGCAGAACAGGCAGCCTTTGGTGGCCTGAGGACAGAGAAGAGCGTGTGTGGAAAATCTGTGCCGTCTCCCTGAAGCAGGGCTGAGGGAGACTAGGTCTCCCCGCATGACAGAGTGACATGGGGTCACCCAGAGCGCACACCCAGCAGTGCTCATCAGGGGAGCCCATCTCAGACCTCGGTGACAGCATTCCCAAGCCCAGGCATCTTTACACAAACCCACTGCTCACCTCTCTCCACAGAGCAGCAGGGTTTGAACCCCTGACCTTTCAGTTAGCAGACCTGTGCTTAGTCCTCCAAGGCCACTGTTGCTTCCTCCACACCTGAAGCTCAGGTCATTTCCTGTGGGGGGAGGTGCAGGGGGTGCTGGGGGCTGCACCTCCGATCACTCTGTACCTGGGGCAGCCCAGAGGTGAAGGGGTCACCTGGAGTGTTCCACCAGCTCTGGCTGGGACAGGGAAGGTGTCCCTCCACCGGGGGTTGAGTGTATGCGTGGGTCCGTCCTCGCACGTCTGTGTGGTGATTAGGTACCGTGGACTTGATTCTGACAGTGACCGGGCACAGAGTCTTCAATTGCTCAGGTGGCTTCTTCCAGAAGTCATATGACCTCACCCCATTTCCCAAATCATGGTGAGGGTGGAGACTGGTCTGACGGTGGGCTCTGGAGAGGAGGCAGCCACCTGCGAGCTCGACCCCACATGATGCTTTCTGGATGTTCCCGGGCAGAGGTGGCCCCTCCCAGTGCCCAGCCGTGGTGCCCAGCCCTGCAGTTTGCCCGCGGGCTCATGGTGCTGGGCACGGGCATCCACTCACCAGCCAGGGTTCACCTGGGCCAGCGGGCTTGGATCAGCAGTTTGGGTGGCATTTGGTGGTCAGGGGGTGCCCCAGATGTGGAATGGGGGATCCTGGGGCTTAGACTTGTGTCCCCTGGCTCGATGACCTGATTCCTCAGTGACCTGTGTGCTTTGCACGGCTGGTAAGTCACTGAGGTGCGAGGCCAGGATTTGCCCCCACCCCACCCTCCCAGTGCAGCCTGGAATGAGAAGTGGACGCTTGGAGGACACTGGACCCTTGGGCTCTGTCACGGACAGAGGCTGCACAGAGCCTCTACTCAGGACTGTGCCCTTGTGTGTGACCAGGTCTGCGTTCCCTGCAGGTCACCTAGATGTCAGCATGGCAGCCACAAACCTAGAGAACCAGCTGCATAGCGCACAGAAGAACCTGCTGTTCTTGCAGAGGGAGCATGCCAGCACACTCCAGGGGCTGCACGCCGAGGTCCGGCGGCTCCAGCAGCACTGCACAGGTACGGGGCAGGGACTGGGGTGCGGGGGGCACAGGGTGCCCGGGATGCAGGGAGCATGGGGAGCAGGGAGCGTGGGGCACAGGGTGCCCTGCCCGGGACGCAGGGAGCGTGGGGCACAGGGTGCCCGGGACGCAGGGAGCGTGGGGCACAGGGTGCCCGGGACGCAGGGAGCGTGGGGCACACAGTGCAAGGAGCGTGGCAGTGTGCCCCGAGGGCTGCACACTGAAGTCTTGCAGCTGCAGCAACACTGCACAGATACAGGGCGGGGCCCAGGGAGCATGGGGTACAGGGCATGGGAAGGGGCCGTCACCCCTCAGGAGGACCCAGCCTGGCTCCTCAAGGAGGCCTGATGTGGGAGGGGCTGGTCTCCATCCCTCTCTGACCAGCGGAGCCCTGTCATCAGGGCAGGCCCAATGCTAGGGGCAGTTTCCCGACATCCTGCATGTTCCATTCAGTGCACGCTGGTTAACTGAGGACACATGTGGAAGCCACGACCAATACAGCGTGTGTGGGGCACAGAGCAACCTGCTCCCCGCTTGCAGGTCAGGAAGAGCAGGGTCCACTGAACCTCATCGGTGTCTGTCACTGGCGTCTGCCACCGATGATCTCCACAGTCCTACCCACGCCCACCTCCAGGGCTACTTGAAGCCTTACTGTTCCGGCAGGACTAGGCTGATGACGAGAAGAGCATCTTAGAGCTTACGAACATCGTGAATAACCTGTAACCCACCAACACTGACGTGTCTCATTTGCTTTTCAGACCTAACCTATGAGCTGACACTCAAAAGTTCTGAACAGACAGGTAAGCCCCCCCCCCCCTTAGCCATGGTGCGGCTTCCCTTGCCGGGTGTGCTGGGTCCACTAAGTCCACAAGCTCATATGGAAGAAAATGCACTTGCTAACACACAGTTGGGGTGGAGCTGAGAAAAAAAGAAGGGCGGACAGACGTGGGTTCTGACACGATGGCTCATAACATTAATTGTGCAGTTGCTGTGTGCTGTCCAGTCAAAACCACCTGACAGCTGGCCCTCCAGTGGGTTTTCAGAGGCAGTAAATCGCACAGGAGGAGACTGCCCATCCTTTTCCCGTGGATTCCAACCACTCGCCTTTGGAATTGCAGCACAGCTGCTGGGCCACCAGAGCTCCCACCATGTGCAGTAGTAACGAGATGAGAAAGCTTCAACTGTCACAGCAGTGACTGAACAGGGACACTTGCTGAGGGAGAAATGTGCCACATAGACCCACGGGTGGCCCTCAGCTCCTTACAGATGCGCTGTCTGCAGCACACAGTACAGCGAGGTGCTGCAGAGCAGGGCAGGGCAGGCTGGCCTGTGTGAACTGCAGTCAGGAATGCCTCCTGCGTGTCCTGCACACGGGCTTTTCCAACAGCACATTCAGGCCGGCATCTCCACTGGCTCCCCTCGGCTTGTGACCAAGTGGTGGGCGCCTCCAGCATCTGAATCGAGTTCCCATCCTCTCAGGAGCCAGGACAGTGGTTGCTCATGTATAGAGGGCACCAGGGTCGTACAGGCCAGCCCAGAGCTCTGGGCCAGGAGGCCTGCAGGGCACAGCAACCGAGTCCCCACGCCAACAGACCAGGAGCTGTCTGGCGGTTTGGAGTTGATAAAGCAGTGAGGAGTCACTTTTAAATGGAAGAGGACACTTGATGGGGGGCCCAGGATGACACAAGTGGACCAGAAGGGAAGGAGGGGGCCAAGAGGGCCAAGAGGGGGCCAGGCTACTGGCCGCAGTAGCCCGACCACCGTGAAGGGAGGCACCTGGCCTTCTGGTGCCCAGTGTTTATAAGTCGTGTCAACACTTATAAAGGCCAGGAGCAGGTGGGGCCTGTGGACCGTGGCCTGGGGGGCCTGCTCGCTGCCCTAACACCTGAAGGGGTGAGGAGGCCTTGACTCGACTGCAGCGTGTGCGCTGGAGACTGAGGAAATGCAGAGTCTCCGAGCCCACAGGGTCTCCCTTCTTTCAGTGACTGAGAGAGGAAGGGGCCTGGCGTCTTCCCCATTGTGGGGACGGCGTGCACAGAGCTGACTCCGCCTCCGGAACGGGCCTTCCCGCCCCACAGCCTGCCTGGCGTGGCCTCCGGGCCCACCGCCTCTAACCGCCCGCCCCTCGGCTTGGTGTTGCAGGGGATGGAGCGTCCCGAAGCAGCGAGCTGCGGCAGAGGTGTGACGAGCTGGAGGCCCAGCTCCGGGCGCAGGAGGAGGAGAACCGCGAGCTGCTGGCCGAGCTGGAGCAGAAGAACGCCATGATCCTGGTGCTGGAGAACACGGTCAAGGAGCGCGAGCGCAAGTACCTGGACGAGCTCAAGGTCAAGAGCCACAAGCTGAGCCTGCTCTCGGCCGAGCTGGAGCAGCGGGCGGGCACCGTGGCCTACCTGACGGCCCAGCTGCACGCCGCGCGCAAGAAGCTGCTGCAGGGCGCCGGCCCCGAGGCCAGCCCGGCGGGCAGCCCGTCCGCGCAGCGGCCGCTCGCCAGCTACAAGCCCGCGCCGCCCAAGGACAAGCTGCCCGACACGCCGCGCCGCCGCATGAAGAAGAGCCTGTCGGCGCCGCTGCACCCCGAGTTCGAGGAGGTCTACAGGTTCGGGGCCGACGGTCGCAAACTGCTCCTGCGGGAGCCGCTGGACGCCATGCCCGACCCCACCCCGTTCCTGCTGGCCCGGGAGTCGGCCGAGGTCCACCTGGTCAAGGAGCGGCCCCTGGTCATCCCGCCCATCGCCTCCGACCGCGGCGGCGGGGGCGCGGCCAGCGAGCAGCCCAGCCCGGCGCGTGACAGGAAGGCGCACGTGGGGGTGGCGCACCGCATCCAGCACGCGGCGCCCCCGCCGCCGGCCGAGGTGGAGACGCTGGCGGTGGACCAGGTGAACGGGGCCGAGGCCGCGCGCAAGCACTCAGGCACGGACAGAACTGTGTGACCCGCGCGGCTCGCAGTGCGCCCCGCCGTGCGCCCCACCTGCATGCCCTCCAGAGCGCCCCACGCCGCCGCGCTGCCTGCCCAGCCGCTTGCTTCTAGCGCCTTCGTGTAGCCGAGCGCTTGTGGACGGGGCGCGGCCACGCTCACCCCCACTCGCTCGTGGCCAGGCGGGAGCCCCCGACCCTCCCAGGCCTGTGGGGCGCCCCCCACCTGTCCCCCGCGCGTCCCCGCACCGACAGCGGCTGTGTCTCAGGGGCTCAATAAGACAGTTACTCTCCACACCCGAGGAGTGTCCATATCTGTGTGTGTTTTCTCCCAGGTTCTAGAGCCCAACAAACTTTATTTTCTCAACCCGCCTTCTTTCTGCCGTGTGTCTTTTATTAACCCCGGAACGGGAGCAGGTGGGGCCCAGAGCGAGGGGCCGGGGATCGCTTACCGAGCTCCGGGCGCAGGCGGGGCGCCGTCCTCCCTCTCTGTCCTCTGAACACCCCGAAGTGGATAGCTCCGCTTTCGCACCACCTGACCCCCCACAACCTCAGCAGCCCCTGGAGGTAAGCAGAGTTCTGGAAGGGGGTGTGGCTCCTCCACGCTTCCAGCCAGTCCGGGGCGGGGGGTGGGCCTCAGCTCGGCCCCGCCCCCAATAGGCAGGTGTCTGCACACCTGAGCCCAGGGAGGTCCCCACCCTTAGGGCCCTCAGCTGAGCTCAACTTCGTGCGGAAAGAATGCAGACTAGTCTCATAACCTTCTTAGTGTTTACTCGGGGATACACAGGACCCCAAGAGGAAAAACAGGCTTTAACAAAAAATAACAACCATTCATGCCAACTTGAAGGAGAAGAGGGGGAAACTGCAGACTACACGCTCCTCCTGTCTACACACACGTCCACATACTCTGAGACCCCCCACTGTGATGACAGACCCCGTCCACAGCCAGCCATGGCCGAGCCCCGGCCCAGTCTTCTAGTCAGAATTGAGGGTGAGGCAGGGTCCCCATGGTCAGCCTTGGCCAATCAATCCCCAATGGCCAGTCTTGGCCGAGCCCAGGCCCAGTCTTCTAGTCAGAATTGAGGGTGAGGCAGACGCCCTGCAGCACCCAGTGGGAGATGTGCCGAGTGGTGAAGAGGTCGGCCTCGAACACCAAGCCCACGCCCATGGCGTTCCTCCTCATGGAGGTGGTGTAGACAGGGGTCCGAAAGGTGTTCTGTGGAGGGAAAGCACCCATAGCAATGGGCCCAGGCTCACCCCCACTGGGGAGGTAGGGGGTCCCACCGTGGTGGTTGGCTGGGGCCCTTGGCCAGGGTCCCTCAGAGTCCCCCATCCTGCCTCAAGCCTTCCCCTACAATCCCTAAGAAGGGAGCCCCGCCTGGCTCGAACGTTGAGTCTCGAACATTCTGGAACGGCCCATTCACAGACACACACTCCGAGGTGTCTTGCTGGTGAGGGTCCCGAGTTTTGCCACTACCCTAAAGTCCCCTTGGACCGTGAGTGGCCTGGGTGGGAAGACGGATCTCTCTGAAAGCACCTCAGCTGGACCAGTCGGGAGCCAGGGAGGGGTGTGTGGGCAGACCTGCCCCTCACCTGCAGCTTGAGGCGTTGGGCTTCGATGGGGATGATCTTGAGAATGGGCAGGTCGACCACCAGCACCTTGGGTTTGCTCTTGACCAGACAGCCCCTCTCTATATCCCAGTCGGCACCTTCCAGATACAGGCCTGAGGCGAAGCAGCCTGGGGACACCAGGAGGGGCCCAGAGGCCCCCAGATTTGCTCATCTGACACCCAGTTCCCCTCTCTTCCCCAGAGCAGAGGGCCTGGCCAACCCCAGCCTGGGGGCCTGACAACCCGTGTGTCCCCCATGGCCGTCGCAGCATGGACACTGGTGCACCTTCGCTGGCTGGCCGATCGAGGCTGACAGCCACAGACTGTAGGCCCTCAGGTTGTGAGCTGAGGGGGCAGTAGGCTTAGAGTGGGCCTCATTGCAGCCCCAAGTGTCATCAGGCAGAGGGACCAGAGCAAAGGAGCATAAGCTGGCGTCTCAGGGAAGTAGGGCAGACACGTGGACAGACGCAGGGAACCGGCAGTCCAGGCAGTGACCAGCACTCTGAGGCTGGACGCCTGTGGCTGGGACCCAGAGGCCATGCCACCGCCTCAGCCACCTCTGGGGGGACCCTGAGGGCTACACCCGGACACTCGCTCTGAGGCACAGCTGTGTGCCCGCCCACTCATGTTCTAGCTCAGAGCCCGTGTCCGGGGGACTTGAAGTGACAGCATACTGGACCCACAAGTTTAGTCTACGTCCCTCAGACTCACAAGAAGCCGCCTGGGCAGCTAATTCCTTCACAGAGCTAACAGTGACCTAGAATCCACACACACACACACATACACTTGGGGTCCAGGGGTCCCCTGGCATGAACCCCAGGTCTCTAATCCTATAGGTCCCCTACAGACAGGACAGGGTTAGCAGATCCTGCCATCTATCTGGGGTGCCCTGTGCTCACCCCCTGAACAGAAGGGCCACATACCTTGCCCTGCCCGCTCATTGACTTCCTCCGCATCCTGGAACTTGGTCACCTGTGTGAACAGCGTGGAGTGGTCCAGCGGCCAGCCGTTCTTCCGGCAGGTGGCCTGCACCAGCGCCGTGAGGTACGACTCTGGGATGTGCAGCCCCGAGAGCCACATCACGTTGGGCTCACCGTCCGTGACCTGCGGAGGGGAGACGGCTTGTGGCAGGGGGCGCCAAGAGGCCTGGGCAGTGGGGGGACGCAGTGCATCGTGGGAGGCGGGCTCTGCCTTGCAGAGGGACAGTGGCAGCAGGGAAACCTGCAGCTGCTCAGGGAACCAACCAACCAGCTCACACGATTCTCGAGGCAGCAAAGTTGTGGATGCTTCTCAGAATCCCTAAGAGTACTAGTTCAAACCGCAAATGGGTTTTTTCATAACCTTTCAGTGGGGAATAGGAAATCCCAGAAAGCATGAACCAAAAAACCAACATGTTGGCAACAAAGCTGAAAACTTTTGTACAGAAACAAAACATGCCATAAAGTCGTTGGATCTGTGACAAGCGGGAGTGTCACGTGCAAGTCTGGCAGACAAAGGGCCCGTTTCCCTGTTCTACAGAAGCTCCTAAAAATCAGGGAAGGAAAAACAAAGACAGGCACAAAACAGGAAAAGACAATTCACAGAGAATCATAAAATGCCTCTCATGACACAAACCAGTCAGCCTCCCCAGAATTAAGACGTAGTCACAGAAAATATGTGCTGAACTGTTGAATAAATAGCCAAATCATCAGGGTACACAGTGTTGGAGAACCCCAGAAAAATCAACCTGTTGCCCTAGAAGTCGATTCTCACTCAGGGCGGGAGGAGGCTGCCCATCTTATTTTCACAGAGCAGCTGGTGGATTTGAACCTCTGACCCTTTGGTTTGTAGCCCAACACATCATGCACCTTGCCACCAGGACTCCCTCAGTGCTGCAGTGAGCTGAGGAAGTAGGAACTCTCACACATCGTAGATTCAACTTCTCCACCAAGAGCGACCTGAATTTAAAACACTCATCCTTGAATACAGCCCTTGTCATTCGAGGGACGTATCCAGGGGACCCTGAGGAAGGGACAGTAGGGTGCCCCCTGCCCTGTGACCCTTTGTGAGCCTTACAACCAGCTACACAGACCTGCCTTCTTAGTGGGGACCAGTGTCCTCTCCTCTAAGTGGAGTCTTGACTCCGAACACCCCCACAGAGCAGCTGAGGGTCGGTCAGCACTCCCTGCACCCTGGCCCTCAGCACACATCAGTGCTTCCAGGAACTGCTGGGGTATGCCCGTTACACGGCACCCGGTCAGCACCTTTTCTATACTTGCTCCTTTGGGCAGGAAGCGTGCAGGCGTCCGCTCCTGAACATGACCTTGTCCTCTCCTCTATGTGGGCTGGGCTCCATCCCTGCCTGTGGGTGGAGTGGATCCCCACCCCTGAGACCCAGTCCCTCCCCTGCACTGGCCAGCGAGTGTCAGCGGGTGTCATTTCTTTGCTCTTTTCGAGGCCCAGGGCATGGTCAAGACTTCTCGCTGACACACAAGACAGTCAGTTCTGTGGTCTTCCTTACCCACAGTCCCGCTTTCACACACACCTGACATCAGACACACACCTGATGGCAGGGCTCAGTCTCTAACATCCTTGTCGTGAGAGCTCTAAGCACGTCGTTCACAGCAGACCTGCCCAGCGCAACACACCATGATTTTCCTGACTATGTGTGGGTCCAAGGAAAACAACGTGGTTGGCACTGTCACGTTGTTGAAATATGTAACCCTGAAGAGCCCAGAGAAGGAGTCCCACCTCTGTGTGCTGAGAGCAGGGGCCCGGAAATACTCCTTGGTGCAGCGTGGAGTGTACAACATGCTGCAGAGTCAGCACACACCAGATGTATCAGTGCTTACGAAGCTGTTGTTGCTGTTGTTGTTGTTGTGTACCATCGAGGGAGCACTGCCTCACAGCTGACCCACCAGCCAGTTTTCAGAGGCGGGAAATCCCATGGGAGGAACCCATCCATCTTTCTCCCACAGAGCGGCTGGCGGATTCCAACAGCACCCCTTTGGGATTGCAGCACACACACACCCCCACACCCACCCCCCACACACAAATAAAAGAAAGGGCCTTGAAAAATTAAACATCCCACTGCCAACTGAGTGGATTCCTTCTCCCAGTGACCCTGCAGACGGCGAAGAGTTACCCGGCTGATGCCCACGGCTGTAACTCTTTGCACAGCCGGGGGGCTGCGGCGTCCTCCTGCATAGTGGCTAGCAGCGCCAAAGGATCAACTTTTGATTAGCGGCCCAAAGCCACCTCATTTCTAGAACACCCAATGGACTGTGGATGGAGGTGACGGTTGGCCGAAGGACCAGGGGTGGGAGGTAACAGTGGTGAGAGTGCAGGCTGCCCCTCAAGCCCTGCAAGCTCACCGGAGCCCTTACATACCAATGAGGTGTACCCCCTTCAAGCCTCCCAACCTCGCTGGTGCCCTCCCATGACCACGAAGTGTACCTCTTCAAGCTCCCCAAGCTTGCTGGCACCCTCACGTACCCACGAGGTGTACCCCCTTAAGCCCCCCAAACTCATCAGAGCTCTCATGTACCCACGAGGTGTACTCCCTTGAGCCCCCCAAGCTCACTGGAGCACTCACGTACCCACAATGTGTACCCCCTTGAGCCCCTCAAGCTCACTGGTACCCTCATGTACCCATGAGGTGTACCCCCTCGAGCCCCCCAAGCTTACTGGTGCACTCATGTACCCACGAGGTGTACCCCCTCGAGCCCCCCAAGCTCACCGGCGTCCTCACTTACCCACGAGGTGTACGCCCTTGAGCTACCCCAGGCCCGCTGGCGCCCTCACGTACCCACGAGGTGTACTGGGTGAACCGGCGCAGGAAGTACACCATCCAGTTCCCCAGGGTCTTCAGGGTGTCCGGCGCCAGCTTTCTCCAGATATTCGGGATTTGCCCGATGAAAAGAGACTTGGCCACATCATCTAACTCGTTGCTCATTCCGACTTCTCCAGCCAGGGCCTGTGGACAGACAGGTCAGGTTTAGAGATAGGTCAGGGGAGCCTGTCCCGCACAGCGTGCCCTGTCCCTGGCTCCCTCAGGCCCCCCCGCCCCTGGTGCCCTCGCTCGCCGTCGCCCGCCCTGCTTACCCTCTGGAGCTCGGCCAGGGACTTGGACATGCGGACGATGAGCTTGTTGAAGCGCTCCAGCTCCTGCAGCAGCACCACTGACGTGGGAGAGATGGCTGTGCCCAGGTGCTTCCTGATCTGGTCCAGATTAAAGACCTTGGGCATCTTGTGTTCGATGTCCATGGCCACCTGGCCGATGTAGTCGTCGCGGCTGATGCCGCTGCTGGATTCCCCTGAAACCGGGACGCTCTTCAGAGAAAGCGTGGCCTCTGGTCAGAGGGTGAGGGCGTGGGGAGCCCGCTGGCTCTTAGTAAAGGGGGGCCAGGTGGGAGCAGGCTGGGACCCACACATCAGGACCTGGAGCTCACACACAAGGCCCTGGCCCAACGAGCAGAGGCTGGTGGCAGGGGCTTTACCTGTCTGAGGCTGCAGCTCCAGCAGGTGCGTCCACAGGTCACGAGCCGCCTGCGTATAGTAGCCAATCTCGGCGTTGGGATGCAGCCCGAACACCTCAGGCGTGTTGGCCAGGGGCAGCGCCTCAATGGCCTCTAGTCAGAGGACACAGTGAAGTCCCACCGTCAGCCACCCTGCACTTCTGAGGCCAGGGCCCCCAAGTCCCCACATGTGCTACTGGGTGATAATGTTTTAAACAAAAATTCCAAGCCCCCCTCCAAATCCACATTTCTCGTATCTGAGTGTGGTGTCCTGAGCATCCCACGGCCACTCTGCCTTCAAGGGGGATCCAGGGAATTTCCCATCATTCCAGGAGGAGAGGCGAGGAGACACCTTTTAACTTACATGTGAAAAGCCACGCTGAGTTGGCCCTGAGTCCAGCAGGGAGGGCTCAGCCAACCACAGCCAACAAAACCACGGGATGCCCGCTCTCGCTCAGAACTGCTCATAGCTTTCAAGCCCCGAGCAAGCTCACCTACGAAACTATCCTTCACATTGCCCGGCGGGATCTTATAGTCGACTTCTTTGCTGTGGAAGAAGTGGAATGGCTGGAAAGTATCAAAAATGAAGTCCCCCAGGTACTCGTCCATGTAGACGGTCAGGATGCGCCGGTCGAAGCTGTCGATGGCCCGTCCTCCATACATGACCTGAAATAGTGACCGATGGTGAGGTGTGGCCAGGAGCACCTGGGGGACCAGCTGGCAGGCCCTCCCCAACCAGGCCCCCAGCCAGCCTGGCCACAATGCGGGATGTGAGCTCCGGGCCCGATGCGTCCAAACAGGCTTGTCCAGTCACACTGCTGAGCTCTGGAGGACAGCGCCCAGTGGGACAGGCGACCTGCAGGATGTGCTGGGAACCAGTGTGTGATCTACACAGCCCCCAAATACTAGAATAAGGGCCACTCTGAGCTTGCTGATGCTACTGTCTGAGCAACGTGCAGGCCCTGGGGGATGCCCGGGTGAAGGGTCCTCCCTGGGTGGGCCTTGGTGATGCTGACCCGGACGAGGCACTGCTGGCGTGCCTGAGGGGCATACTGCCGGCCACGGGGGGGCGGGGGGGTGGGGGTGGCGATATTCAGGGACATACTGCCGGCCACAGGGTGAAGGGGGATTCAGAGATATACTTCTGGCCACGGGGGGTTCAGGGACATACTGCTGGCCGCAGGGGGTTCCACACCAGGAGCTCACACAGAGAAAGAGTAACTAGGGGGTCAGGAGATGTGTTGCTGGGGACCCCAAGGGGCCCTACAGCTGCTGTGGACAGGAGCAAGATGGGGTTCCTGGAGGGCCCCACAGCACATGGAAAGGGTGAGCCCACCTCCAGCCCCCAGGAGGCCGCCCACCTCTCCAATTAGGTACTTGAGGCTGCCCCATGGGATCCTAGGGTCGTTCTGCTGAAAGGCTTTGGTCAAGTATGTGTTCAGGATCTCCATGCAGACCTGTATGGAGGGGGAGGAGGCCTGGTCAGACCACATAGGCAAGACACCTGCATCCTGGCTCCCCTGTCACAGTGACCTGCACTCAGGTGCAGCTGCAGTGTGGGGGAAAGGGCAGGCCTGAAACAGGGCAGATGACATAGCAGGCCCCCCCACCATGGAGGAAAGGAGGGGGGAGGAGAGAGAAGAGAGGAGGAAGGACAGGAGGAGGGAGGGGGAGGAGGAAGGAGGGAGGAGAGAAGGAAAGAAGGGAAGAGGGAGGGGAGGAGGGAGGAGGGAGGAGGTGTAGGGGAAGAAGGAGGAGGAGAGGAGGGGAGGAAGGGAGGAGGGAAGAGGGGAGGAAGGGAGGAGGGGGAGGAGGTAAGAGAGGGTGGGAGGAGGGAAGGAGGGGAGAAAGGAGGAGAGGAGGAGGGTTGGGAGGAGAAGGGGAGGAAGGGAGGAGAGAGAGGGAAGGGAGAAGGGAAGGGAGGAGAAGGGGAGTAGGGAAGGAGGGGAGGAATGGAAGAAGAGAGGGCTGAGGAGGTGAAAAGGGGAGGCGGGAGGAGGGGAGATGAGAGAGGGAGAGGAGGAAGGAGGGAGGAGGGCAGGGAAGGAGGGGAGGACTGAGGCAAGGCAGCTAACACAGGACCACCACACCACCCCCTCAAGGAGAAGAGACCTGGGCAGCAGCAACACGCTCTAACCTGGAAGCCACACTCGCTCTAACCTGGAAGTCTGACTCATTGAAGTCATAGTACACGTTCCAGCCAATCTTCCCGAACTTTCTTCTCTCCTGCACCACTGCGTGGAAAAAGGCCAGCACGTAGACCAGGGGCTTGAAGGCGGGGTGTGGGCACTGGTCTAGCATCTCCGGAGAGATCTTGAAGTAAGTTGCTCGCATGTTGAGTTTCAGCCCATTGGGCGGCTCTGTGACCACCTGTCCGGAGGGAGGGGAGCAAAGCTTTGCCTTAAGCACATCGTTGAAGAGCGTGGATGTGGGGACTTTCTGTCTACCTCAGTCCTTCCCATCCCCTGACCGGCAACTCCTGCTGGGGGTGCAGATGGGGAAGGCTCAGCCCTAGCTCAATGCCTGCTTGTCAAGTGAGTCTGTAAATTTCTGACCCTTGGGGTCCTCGGTTACAAATGAGTGTAGCAAAGTCTTCCCTCTCACTGAGTGATGAAAAATCTTTTCCAAAAAGAATTCCCCGGAGAATAAATTAAGTGAGTCACACAATGTGCTCAAAACTGTCCACAGCTACTGGAGGGGTGCAGGCTATGGGCGGGCGTCTTAGTTCTCTGGGGCTTCGGTAACAGAAACCCCAAAAGGGAGCGACTTTAACAAGCAGCAGAGTATTCTCTCATGCTGTGGGAGGCTCAGAACCTGAACGCAGGGGCTCAACAACATCCACATCTACCTGGAAACTGGGAATGTGGCCTTCAGTGGACACAGGGGTCACTCCAGGTTAGGGTGGGCCCTCATTCCGTTAAAACACAGTCTCTGGACACAGAGGCAGAGCCACCAGGGAGGGGGGATGGGAGGAGGGAAGGTCATGTGACAATGAAGGCAGAGAATAGAGTGATGCATCTATCTACAAGCTGCAGAAACCCCGCCCACCCAGGCAGAAACCAGGCAGCAGGAGCAGCCCCTCAGCCTCTGGAGTCCCAATCCTTGACTCCAGCCTTGTGCCCTCCAGAAGTGGATGAGATGAACGTCCTTTTGCTTGAAGCCACCTAGTTTGTGGACATTTGTCAGAGCAGCCGCAGGAAATTCATGCAGGTACTCCAAGGCGTGAACGGTGCCCTAAATTCCCTTCTGAGCACGCACAGGCGTCTGGCAGCATGAGCCGTGGGGCTGTGGGTGTGGGGGCGCCCGCCTGAGCCCGCACCTTCAAGGACTTCTGCAGGATCCCGATGGGGAAGCCCTTGGTGGGGTCTGTGGTGAGCCACAGGCGGAAGTCGGGGTGCGGCTTGGTGATCCTCTCCAGCGACTTCTCCAAATCTTTGAGCCACTTGACCAGGAGATGGCAGTTCTGCAGCATCAGCCACTGGCCACGAGCCACGGCCGTCTCCAGCAGCTGCAGTGCCACCTGTACCCGTGACGGGGGGGCGGGGAGGGGGAGCGAGAGGGAGGGAAGGAGGGGGCAGCACCCCAAAGTCACAGAAACCCTGTACTCTCCTCAAGCCACCCCCCAAGCCTCAGGCCAGTGACCGCCCACCCGGAAGCAGCCACCGAGGCTGATGCTCCCAGGGCCCGTCAACCTCAGCTTGTCCATGACAGAGGCCAGAATCTCACCTTCTCCTGACCTTGACCCATGGCCAGGAACTTGAGGCGGTTCCCTCCAAAGCCAGATCGCTCGGCCAGCTTCATAAGGTCACTGGCAGGGTCGGAGCCCGGACTCAGGATGAAGACAATGGGTGAGTTTGGGGTGCTCTGCTCGAAGATGGCCTCAAAGCTGATCATGGGGGGCTGCACATATCTGGGGAGGAAGATGTGGCCAGCTCAGGGCCCATCCGGCGTGGCGCCCAGTCCTCTGAGGGCCATCCCCCCCCATAGAGTCAGCTTTCACACATCGCAGTCCGACCCAGTGGTCACTTCCTGAATGGACAATGAGGCCTCTCTGGGCCCCTGAGCCCAGCCCCGGATGTGTGTGCTTTCCAGGTGGACGGACCCTGGTCACAGACCACACTAGCCTATATCCGGGGAACCTCTTAAAACTAATTTTTTTTAATTTTATTATTTTTTTTGTGTGTACCGTCAAATCAGATCTGACAGGTACAGGAGGAGATTGTCCCTCCTTTTCCAGCAGAGCATCTGGGGGATTCAAACCGTGCACCTGAGATTGCAGTGCAGTTTCTTGCCACTAGGCCACCAGAGGTCGCCTTAAAACTAATTTTTAAAACATTCTCATTAATTTGTGTGTGTCATCAAATCAGATCTGTCTGGTACAGGAGGAAATCGTCCCTCCTTCTCCAGTACAGCATCTGGTGGATTCAAACTGTGTACCTCTGGGACTGCAGTGCAGCTTCTTGCCACTAGGCCACCAGAGCTCCCTAAAATTTTAACTAATTTTTTTTTTTAAAGAAAGCTTTTACATAAAAGATTTCTTGAACAATCTCAGGTTCCTCGTCCCTTTGGAATAATCAGAGGAAGCAGCCCCCAGGGTCTGGCCGCCTTTGTGGACAGGACTTTGCCTGGCCACTCTGTCACAGGGTGATGCCCAATAGGAGAGACACCCCAGCTTTCTGTCTGTTGTGTGCTCCACTGGGAGCACAGTGGCCACCAGGTGCTGGGGCGCCTGACGGCCCGACAGGTGGCCTCAGGCTGCACATGAGGACTTCACACGGAGAGGACAGACAGCCTCGCTCGGCCGTTCACGTGGTTACAGGTGCGCTAAGGTAACACACCGAGCACCTTTCACCTGCCTCTTCCCCTTCCCTTCATGTGGCTCCTGAGAAACCGCACGTGTGGGTCACACTGTGGGCTTTGCTTGCCGGGGGGGGGCAGGTCTAGAGTGGCTACCAGCCCCTGGAGACGGGTTTCAGGAGCTGGCCCACAACGGCCACCTGTGAACCCAGGGCGGGAGGCCCGCGTCCTCCGCATGGAGAGGGCCAGAAGAGCACAAAGCACTCACTTCTCGCCCATTGTCACGGTCACATAGTCTGTCACCGCCCGATATACCCGGTCAACGCGGAAACAGCGCAGAATAAGCAGCTTCTGGAAGGGGCTGATGTTGGCGTCATAATCCAGGGGGAAGGGGAACTGCTCCAGGGAATCCAGGTCGTACCACTGCGGAGCGCAAACAGTGATCTCTGTGGCATCAACTCCAAGTCCACCTCAAGGTCCCGGAGGCCACAACCAGGGGGTGGAAACCTGTACAAGGGTGGCGTTCAAGGCCACTTCTGGCTGGATCTATTAGGGTCAGTTATGGATTTCAGGAACACAGAACCTAACCTCAACACTGCCCACATCCAAGGCCACGACCCTAACCCCTGAGCTGCGGGGTCAGGTCCTGCTCACAGTGGCCCTGAGGGACACAGCAGAGCTGCCACACAGGGCTCTAGGATCACAGATCTTTACGAAGGTGACCGACGTGTTCTGTGCGTGTGAGGTCAATGCTTAGCGGGCACTTGGCATCTGAGTGCCTCCGTCACCACAAGCTCATCAAACAACATGGTGTGTGGTGGAGACTCAATAGGGATTTGTTTGGATGGATAGACAGATGGACAGAGAAATTAATGGGTAGGCAGAGGGAAGGGAGAAGAGTTGAATGGAAAGATGGATGGATGGAGAGAAGGAAGGACAGGTGGGTAGGTGGGTGGATGGATGGATGGATGGATGGATGGATGGATGGATGATAGATGGGTGGATGGATGATGAATGGATGGGTGGATGGATGGATGATGGATGATGGATGGGTAGATGGATGGATGGATGACGGATGGATGACGGATGGATGATGGATGGATGATGGATGGATGGATGATGGATGGATGGATGGATGGATGGATGGAAGGAAGGATGGATGGGTGGGTGGATGGTGGATGGATGGATGGATGATGGATGGATGGATGGATGG